CGGCCCGGTACCGGTCTGTGAGTCGTTTGGTACCGGGCCGTGGCCCGGGGGTTACCGCTGCTGTAGAGAATAGATGAGTCCCTCCGTCTGATGGAAAACTATGACTGTGTGCGTCCTCCACATATAAAATAGATCATTATAAATATTTTTTATGAAGTCTTAGTAACAGAATTTCCTTTTAAGTGTTCAACTTTTTTACAATAATGTCCGTGAATCCTTTCTATATTTGTTCGTTCAGTCGTTCTTCTTTTCGTCCACTAGGAGGCAGTACAAATAAAGCACTGGAGCTCTGCCATCTGTCTGCCCTCCCTCACCCCAGCTCAGGGGTCTCAAACGAGCTGTGAACCACTGCTGGCTCTGTCATCTCCTGTGAGGCCACACGTGGCAGCACTTCTGCTGTCATTGTGTTCGCATTTAACAAAACCAAAGTGCAGACACAAGTGTGCACATTAGTTTGTGAATCTGTCAGTAAACTAACACAGACAATCCCTCTCATGTTTGTGTCTCTGCTCATGTTTATAGGCTCAAATTGTGGTCATAAATAGTTTGTACTTGTAAATCAGGATTTGTATGTGTAAAAAAGATTTGTGTGTGGACTTAGGCAAAAAATAAGTGTAAAACTGCACTCAAGTTTCAAGTTACAAGTACGAATTTTGACCCTATTTTTCTTCCTTTCATATGATTGGTCAATGTCATGTCAATCACAAATTTAACTATCCAATCAGAGAACACGCACAACTTCTTTTTACACATACAAATGTGATTTACAAGTACAAAATATTTATGACCACAATTTGAGCCCATACATGTTGCCTTCATATTTAATCATTTGAAGAACTTATTTTAACATTTAACTCAACAACAAACAAAAAAGTCACTTCAACAGTCAAACTGCATTATATTTCTTTAAGTTGATATACGGGCCGCAAGCAGGGCTGATGTGGGCCGCGCTGGCCCCCGGGCCGCAGGTTTGAGAGCCCTGATGTAGCTGTTCTGTGCAGAGACACAAGCAGGTGGAGTTCAGCCGGAGAAATATCACTGCAGAGCTTTACACATTATTTGATGATATTTTCTGTTATAATATGTGTATTTCAACCCTTTTCATGTATTACATGAGCTGCATTTAAATGGATCTAATCTAAATTTGATGAAATAAAAGTCATATAATCATTAAATCATTGCTTTAATATTTTGATATCACCTTGTTGTTAGACTACTAAATGTTAAAAGGAGAACTAATATTTCAGTTGAGGAGAGTTGGGTGTGTTTCAGCTCAGCTTGTTCATCTCATCCCTCCTCCCACCTTCAAAGTGGGCAGCGCGTCCTCAGCTTCCCTGACTGAACATGCAGACACAAGCATGTGGCATCAATTGGACATTTTT